TTTACAAGGGAAGTGACCTCATTTTATACTATTTACATATTTAATTTGAAAGTATTAGATAGTATAAATTTAATGTTGTATTTTTTCCAAACTAAATGAAAAATACAATTAGTACTTCACATGAAAACTGTAAATAAATAGCTGATTATTGATGAAGTAGTTCAAACTGGGTCAATCGCCGTTGCCATAACATTTGCACTTAGTGTAATGAAATTTATACCTCCACTTACGGTTCTAAAGTTACAACTATCGTTTTATCCATATTGATGGTGCATGTATTTTGCACAGCTCTAGAAATATCAATTTGATTTTAAAAAATACATGTTTAAAAAAGTTAAAGAAGAAACATATACACGAAATATTAAGATAATATTAAAATTAAAGTATCAGGCTAAACATGTCCCACTGCTGGGCAAAGGCCTCCTCTGTACATTGGGTATCAGGGTTAGTACACCACGCGGCCCCACTGCGGATTGGTGGACTTCACATATCTTCGAAATATTTTTTTTTTGTTATTATTGTTTTTGTTATATTACATATATTTGAAAATATACAGGTTTCCTCACGATGTTTTCCTTCACCGCTGAGCACGTGATAATTCGGCACTTAAAATTAACAATTTCATTGGTGCCGGAACCGGGGATCGAACTCAGGTTGCTCGAGTATATTGAATTAAGGGCGAGCGCCCGGACACTGAGCTATCACGGCTCGTCTAATCTAATATTATAATCTTGATTTTCTAGGGTTGTCTAGATTTCGCTGTGATAATAAGGATGTACTAGATGCCCCTGCGAATTTGTCGCACATTACCCTGATCAGTAACCGAATGGTAATATCTGTATATAAATGTATATCAATGAAAGAGGCACCTTTTGAGGATTTTGAAGAATAATGTTACCAGTCTACCACGCTATGTTGTAGTTAAACAAATTATTAATAGATGGTATTATCATATATTTTTTATAATAAATATATAAAAGGAAATCAAGTCTCTTCTTTCAATAGTAGCCAACACAAACTTTGAAATGGTGTTATAATCATTAATTTGATGAAGTATTAAGGAAGTTATGGCAAACCAACAAAATAACACCATTTTATCTTAACTTTTTTATTAAATTTTAACACAACATAAATATTATGTATCTAATCGCTACTGCTAAACTTTCACACTTAAAATTATACTATATGTTATTTTATTTTAAACTTCTTCGATTATTATATTGGAGTCAGCCAAGTTCATCAATTTCAACTTTGGGAGAATTCTCCAACTTCCATAGATTCTGTTTTGGACCAAGTAAGTTTAAGCTTCATTTTGTAAAAATAGCTTCAATTGAGTATAAACAGATTCTGGTGGCTTGTTCACCTCAATAGAATGCGTGAAGATGCCTATGGAGAGATAGGATTTCTTGGTAGCCTGAAGCTGCCGCCGACGGTCTTTCCGAACCGTTACGACCTGGGAACCTTCAAAAAGAGAGTATACGCTTTCCTAACAGGCTGGCAACGCATTTGTAAGCCCTCTGGTGTTGCAGGTGTTCATGGGCGGCGGTGATCTCTTGCCATCAAAGCGAGCATCTTCCTAGTTTGCTCCTTTTCTCCAAAAAAAAAGTGTAGTCTGCTGAGGCGACGAGCGCAAGAGAAGATGCGTGAATATGCGACAGTGACCTTGCCAATATGAACAATATCCGTAAAGTAGTTTCATTTAATATGTATTCTAATATTTTTTAACTGATGTTATAATTGCAGGGTGCCGGTGGAATGATGAAATATGCGGATTGAGATTTTTTTAATTCATCAGATCCATTCGAACGAAGTCGGAGGTTAACGCGTAGTTGGATATCAAATTAAAATTTTTGGTTGACAATTCCTTTATTAATGTAAACTTAGGTTTTAATTTCCATTCGATATAATCTTACAACGCATCCATAAAAACTCGACAGCTTAACTCAATATTTACAAGTTTATCGCAAAACATTGATAACTACTGACTCACTACTGATCTTAATCATGACTGTAGTTCAGGACAACACTGAAATAAAACTAAAAACATTTAGATAATATGTCTATAAAGTCCAACAACCGAATAAAATTTAAAGGTATGTAACAAGATACTTCTTATCATTCACTATCAGAAGAAGCATCACATTAAAAGTTTTCTATTATTTCACGAGCATTTACATTTAGTTTTTTACCTGTAACAAAATGCAATAACATGGCTGATTTGGGTCTGCCACAAGACTCATTATCATTCATTAACGTCGCCCTCCCATTAAGAGTTTTCGTGTTTGATTACTAGAGCGTGTGATGCATTAGTTTTGTTACAGAAGCGGTTATGACTAAAATTCGGTTGGAAATTTTTTCCGAAGCAATTGTTTAAGTTGCTATAGTTGGTATGTACCAATGATATAATTCATGTGAATGAGCTATATTTTTCTATTTGTTACTGTGTTAGACTAGCTCATGTTATACTAATGGGCTAGCTTGTACGGGATGAAGGGCTTAACAGAACGGGGATGGCGTAATGGATAAGAACAGTGAAATTAATTTCATGTAACAATTTACAGTCGCATAAGTACGCATAGATAAATAATATTTACCAAAGCCTCATATTAAATACCTAAAGCCTACATATACATACATAGGGTGTACTTTTAAAAACGTATTAAATTTCCCCAATTGTCTTATTTACTATATTTTTCCGTAGTGACTTGTCGTAACATTTTATTGAGATCACTAAGATAATTAAAGTCGTACTTAAAATACCTTAGTTTAACTATTATAAAGTATTTTATAAAATACTTAGCGTTGATTTCTCATTTCGATTAACTTATTTACAGTAGGTATAGATAAACGTGTACATTACATTCATAGTTTGGCACAATTAGCTACGCAAATCGATATGTGTTTATTAAAGTTATAACTATTTTATAAATCTTCTACTTACATATATTTACAGCCATGTAATCAAAACAAAACTTAAAGCACACTCACTTCTGATCTTCTAATATTTCAAGAGAGCTTTATAATTTATTCTAATCGAATATTCGAAAAATTTTAAACTTTTATTTGGTATTAAAAGTTCTTCATTAAGTTTTAATATGAACTCGTTTACGCATCAAATCAAAATTCATTAAATATATTATAATACATAAAAAATTAAACGTTCTTAATATTTCTTTATAATTTACTAGCGACCCGCCTCGGCTTCGCATGGGTTCAATATATGATACATTTAAACCTTCCTCTTGAGTCACTCTATCTATTTAAAAAAACCGCATCAAGATCCATTGCGTAGTTTTAAATAACGTAAAACAGACAGCGGGACGACATTGTTTATACTATGTAGTTATACATTTAAATTTCATTCCATATTGTTATTATCATAAATTTAATGCTTCCTTTTTATTATTCACTAGCCAGTTTACTTTCAAAAACATTGATCTTAACTTAGCATTTTTCACGGTATTTCGAAATATTTTAAACCTTCCAGTTAAATTTTTGTACGTCTTATGCATGAAAATGGCATGGAGCACTTTATAATGTCCAGACCAGTCGCAAATAACGTAAGGTGTAAAAGCGACAAGTTAGTTTTCTTATAGTTTTAATTAACCCTCAGAAAGACTTCTGTGTACACCCGCGTTGCAGAGCTAAAGCTTTCTATTAGTCGTCGATAATTAATTAAAATGTTTATAAGTTTACCGCACGCAGTTTGGGAAATTATCTACTTCAGCAAGAAGCCGACACTCAAAGTGAAAACATATTATTTTCAAAGAGCGGCAAAGAGGTATTTGTTACTCCACCGACATGTATGAGGATCTAGAACGAAAAATAAATATTTGTTTATTTAATCTGTATTCCCAACCTTATATAAAAACGATTAACTTAAAAAAAGGTTGCACCTACAATTAATTTTTGCAATTAATTTTACGCGATGGAAATTAACAAATTTCATAGTAGTTTAAATATAAGATATATACAGATAAAAAAATGAATATATGTATATGATATAACATTTATAATAACACATATCAAGATATACAGCTATTTAGGGCATTGAATATGGTTCTTTCCGCGATGAAAACAAAAATGCTATAGTTATGTTTTGTGAAACCTAATGAATACTTTTTGCACCCAGAAAAGGTAGTATGTGAAATTTGTATATACATATAACCCTGTATGTTGTCCTCCACCAGTGTGACCACAGATAAGCTAATATATAAAGCCTTCGGTATCTGGGAAAATCGATTTGCGGGACTATTCATAGAATTTTCTAATAATCTTCAAGACCATTAAATATTCATTCCGTTCGCTGGAGGCTATTCCGTGGCTGAGTCATTAAGACTGTATTGAGAATTCAATTTATCGAAAAACGTTTTTGTATATAATGGTGGAAGTTTAGAATTCAGACCGAACCATTTTAGCTTGTATTGTTTTTAATCATTTTTCATTAATTTAGATTAATAAAAATATTAGGGAAAATTGTTCGGTTGAAAATTTATAAACGTAAAATTGATACAGTTGACATCATTATGTTATCGTATATTACAGACTACTTAATACTTGTGTCATTAACATAACTAAAAATCTAATCTAAACTATATTTACATATCTATATCATGATAATTTTATACGACTAAACATAGATACACGCGAAGATAAATCACGGATATTCTCTATCATAAACTTCGTATTATGTTGTATTACAAAACTGATTACATCTAATTTAACACGCCAACGTACCACATACTGTTGCAATATAAAAGTATTCATAACATTCAACTTATTTGCCATTTTAATGTCGTATGTTCTAAAAATTCAACACTGAAAAATGTATTAATACGGTCTTACAACAATAACTTTTACCAATTAATACGGGAATTACACAAATAGTCTTTGATAAGAATTATAGTTTTCCGTTCAATGGTAATTTGAACAAGCCATTTCACAACCACAGTTAAAACATTCTTAGAGTCAATTTCGATTTACTTTTTTTTTTCGATTTACGTGTGGAAGGCGATGTCCTCGGCCTTGGAGCTGCAGGCCTGGTGGCCTCGGAGGACATCCGCTGACGTGGACTTGACACAGTTATTCATGTGGATGTCAGACGAGGCGTTGGAGTGGTGGTGCTCCCTGCGCAAGAGCTGCTGCGGGCAGCAATAGCGCCGACCCACGTCGCCACACAGCGATCTGGCAACACAAAGGATCACTTAACTCCGCCATCTTGAAGAACCTGGCAACACAAAGGATTACTTAACTCCACCATCTTGAATAACAGTGAAGCAGTGGAAGTTGTTAAGCGCGGAGATAGTTACGATAGTTTTTTCTTGATGTGAAAGTTGACAACCGATCGGGCGGTTCACGTGATGTTAACTGATTACCGCATAAAAAGGCAGTGGGCTGCGTGGCCCTAAATCACTTGAAAAAGGGTACTTGACAAAACCAAACAAAAAGGTTCTTGATAGTACCTAAAAATAAACGGAAACTACAAAACCATCGCAGAAGCGTTGTAGATCAAGTAGTGTTCGATCTAATCAGAAGATCGCATGACCGAGAACAGTATGGCAAAAATCGTTATCTTGCTATTATATACCGTAGTGTCAACAGTTGTGTTAGTGAACTCTTCAGATCGTTACTGAAATGAAAAATGCATTTACCTAGGTCATTGCTTTCCATTATTTCAACCTCGGGCATTTCATCAAAATAATGATTACCCTATAAACACACAACGGAGCGGCTATTATGTCTGATAAGGAGTAAAGTACCTGGAGGTTTGTTTTTTTTTTTTTTTCGGTAAATCGTATATTTTGGAAATTACATTTATACACAAATTATTGAGTAATGAAATATGCATAATATTTTTCAATCTTACCGACGTAATAATAAGAAAATATGAACTGGAGTTTTTCACAAAAGACAGAACTTAAAAAAAAAGGGAAAAATGAACAAAATCATCTGGATCGACAAAAAATAAAAAATAAAGAAAGCAATGATCTGGAATCGAAAAAAAAGTAAAAAAATAAGTTTGTAAATGATCGTGACACGAACCACGGCATTTTGTTTCGGGGCCGCCCGATTACCGACCGAGCTATTATAAAATTTTTTTTTTTGGTGACAGTCTTATTCGAATGATATTTTTCATTCTCTGAAAACTGGGACAAAACGGAATTTTCTAAAAATGAAACCTAGCCAGATCGATTTTTCGCCCCCGAATCTACACACATACTAAATTTCATGAAAATCGCTGCAGCCGTTTGCGTAATTCCGATTAATATACAAGATTGGCTCATTTAAAGGATAAGATAAGATATAGGATTACGTCATATAATTACTCTTAAAAAAATAATATTGAACTGTTTAAAACTGAAATAATACTTAGGGAAAAATTTTGCATTATATGCCGAAGTCAATCACGGAGTAGGTAACAAAATTTTGATATTGCCAAATCAAAATGTTGAGAGTCCCATAGGAATTAAACTGCTATTTCGTATATTTAGTACTTTTACTAGTCCTGACCATTTGTTTCGTTTCTGCCTGGTTTATGTCTATGTTCAAATAAAATAACATACTTAAACTAGTAACGAACCTTGTTTTAATAAGCTTATAATTTTTATCCCGTTGAAGAAATTAATTTTAAATATCTCAGTCACTTACTTCCAAGTTGGGGATGCAGTTAATTTTAATATTTAAAAAGCCTACAAATATCAAATTCTATAGAAATTTCGTCTACTGACGCACATCCGTTCAGTACCGGATGAAGACCGCCATATACTATAAAATGTCATAAATTATAAAATTCCGAAGGGAGGTCAAAATATCCCCGGAAGACGAAATGAAACATGAAAGATTCATTCCCTGGTCTCCTTTTAGAACCTTCAAGAGTATAATTCGTTCTCTGTTGTCAGTTCATCAGTTATTTCATTTCAAATAACCTTTCAATTCTGAATTTTTTTTAACTATGTACAACGTAACGAACTTTTTTTCTTATTCTAGGCTAACCAAGGCTCAATAGCTTAACTCATATGTTAATGTAAGAGCTTCGAGAGACTTCTTTTTTTATTTTATTGCTAATTTCAGATCTAATGTGCAGCGAGCACAGAGACAAAAGAAGTTATTCTGAATGTGTCGACAATATATAGGAACTGCCAATTAAAAGGATCCACGTAGTCGACTAAATTCTAGAAACGTGGTGTTTAAAAAAAATTGTAGCCACATTAAATTTATGTGGTGGTCATAGTTATAAACGTACATTTATCCATGACACATTGTTCTTTAATCTCTGTTACTCTTGGGTAATCACGAGTCCATCCTCTTCCAGGAATAAGACAACAGGACATCCTCCTACGCTTGGAATTCCAAGACTTGTTGCCGCTTTCAGTTTATCTCGATATTATAGACTTTACCGTATAGAAGAGTCGGAACATTTATCTGATTACAGTTAAAACCTGTCTTGTAACTAATTTACGGTTCACTAATTTTTTCCAATTATGTACTGATTTCAAGGTCGTAAGAGTAAAATTAGTGATAAAGATGAGCAAGGGTAGGATTATATTTTCAACGTTTACCGGTCTCAAATTATCAAATTCAAATTAAGATAGAAGCGTTATAGAAGCGTTACACTTACTTATTGATAGTCAAAATACTACCCTCGGTTCATAGATGATGTATTTCTGTTGCCGCAAATACTAAAAAACAGAATAAGAAAATATTTAGGTGGGACAATAGATGATTTTTTTTTGCCTTTTTTATAGATAATGGTACGGAACCCTTCGTGCACGAGTCCCACTCGCACTTAGCCGTTTTTTTTCAATATACTTGTCAAGCTATTGACTTGTACCGCGGGTCGTGGCTTCGATTCAAACATGGGGTCATTAATTTCGTGACCTGCAGATAATTGTAACTGATAACTCTATCTGAAAGTTTACTTACTGCGTTCCTACAGTAAAAGGAGCGTTTTTATGCACAAATTTCACAGCGTTTATGACACGAATTCGAAGTGAAGATGCATGTCAGAATATGGCCAACTTCCGAACAGATTGATGTTTTACCTAACTGTTGACACTTAATTAACTTCAGTTACTTTTAAAACTTCAATTACATTTAGCCACATTGTCTAATCTGGATGAGAATTTTTACCGGAATCTGTTCGCCAGCTAAAAGTTTTATTACCAACAAGCGGCTACTCACTGAGATTCAACCACAACATACTCTACGTAGTCCTCTGGTAAAATATAACTCGAATATTCGATATTAATAGGTGGTGACCAGGAATTATTTTGTAATGGAAATATTAGTAAAATATTAACTATATTTATTTTACATCTATTTATTTATACACTTAATAACGATTTACTGATTTCATTAAATTAAAGTGAATACTTACAATATTGTCGAGTACCTGTTTAAAAAAAATGGGTATATAGAAGCATGAACATTTAGAAGAAAACAACAAACGCTGTTTTCACACACGAAGAACGAAAGACATCGAAATTTTTAAAGGCGTTTACCTGCAGCACGAGCCGAGTGTCTTCCTAAAAGCCGCTCTGAAATCGCGGTTGAAGTATGCATAAATGAGTGGATTGAGCGCCGAGTTGAAGTAGCCCACCCAGAACACGGCCGCCACTACGGGCGGCGGGGAGGGGCAGGCGTCCCCGCAGAGCGCCGTAATTATGTACCTGCAAGGGGGGTGGGTATTGAAACGCGCCCTTGTTCCCGAACATATCGAACCTTTCGCGAATTCAAAAATGCTTTTGGCGTTTTTAACCGACTTCAAAAAGGAGGAGTTTCACAATTCAATTGTATATATATTTTTTATGTGTGTTCGCGGATAACTTGGTCGTTTATGAATCGACTTTAATGATTCTTTTTTTTGTTGGAAAGGCGATATCCCAACGATGGTACCGTGACAAGGAAATCCAGATTTAATAATGACATCCCAGAGAAATCGAGGCCTCAAATGTTGTAGGTATTAATAATGTTTTATAGGTTCCCGGTTTTTTTTGTTAAAATTATTATTATTTCTTCTAGCGGATTCGCGGAGTTCAGCCAAAGTCCAGTGCTTGTTTTTATTGTGTATTGAACTTTTTGTTATCCTTATTATCATTTTTAACGCATGATGTGACTACCATTAAGTGTAAGAACAGTTACACAAGATTCTTAGCTATTTTTTTTAGACTACACAGGCCGTATCTTATGACGGCAATCCTATAAATAAATAAATAAAATAAATAAACATAAGCCTCCTCCAAAGACTGCCACGAAACACGATCTCGAGCTACCTGCATCCATCGACTTCCTGCACATTTGCACAGGTCGTCGCTGCATCTAGAGGGGGGCTATCCTACTATTACTTACAGAATACTTTTCTATAGTAGAGGCGTTTTGCATTTGCATACTATATTGAACTAAAACAATACACTAATCAATCAACACAAAAATATCTCTGATTACTGAATATGTGTTGCGTTGGAAGTAAATTCACAAACCTGTGACTTTTATTTGAACAAGAGAAAATTTTAAAATCATATTATCGAACTCAATGAAACTATAAAACCAGACTTTAAAGAACTACTAATCAGAAACATTAAAACTAATGTTCAAATATAATAGCCCACAAACACGAAATTCAAAAGCAAACACGCAACGATCCCACGCCATAACCTCAAGTAAGTTAACTGGATGTAGTCGTGCCTTACTTTTACAACGCTACTGTTATTAGCTATCTAATGATTTATACTAAAAGCGGAAGTTCGTCTAATGGTAGATGTGAAATTAGTAATAAGAACCTCGCAGTATGTTCGATAGTAGGTTATTTTCGTAACAAATAACGGGAAGGAACATAAAAACAGGCGATAGGTAAAAACTACCGCTATGATGTTGATTACTGTGGTAGGGCCACGCAACAGTATTCACTGTTGCACGAATGGGCGGGTCCGTCCGGGTAAGTACCACGTCCGCACAGAAGACCGGCGTGAAGTGAAAGTGTTATACTTCTGCGTTTCGCCTGGTGAAGTAACCAAAGCCCACTTTATTAAAAGGTGGCAATGCATCTGCCACCCTACTGGTCGAGCCGCCAGCTCGCTTGCTAGCTTTATATAAAAGAAATACTACGCTATGTTGTGTTTAAGCAAATATCTATAGCGACAAGATTGAGAAGAAGCAAACATCTTACCACAAAAAGAAGGGTAACCAGCAAGCTAGAAAGGCCGACATAATTATTCCCAGGGTCCTTGCCGCTTTCCGCTCCCGCTTCATCTTGTTGCTTGCCATCGGCTGCATCTGAATACTCTGGCGTTCGCGCATCATATCCCCCATTGTGATGCCATTTATTTGCAGGTGCTTGTCTAGCAGCAGAGCGGCCACCTTGCTCCTATATACATATTTAGAAAAAATGTCACTAAACATTTATTTATTTATTGCCATCAGGTGGGATGGCAGCCAAGCGCTGGCCAGTTCCGAAGAAAAAAAAGTAATAGTAACCTTGCAATGTTCCACTATTACAGAACTGTTCTTAATGAAGTTTTTTATCAGAAGCCTTGATTTGTGTCCAAAATTAATATTGATATATTATATTTTTTTTATGCGAAAAGTTGTCAAATGAGCAGACGGTTCACCTGATGTTAAGTGAATACCGCCGCCCATGGACATCTGCTTCATCCGAGAGTTGCAGATTCATTGACAACCTTTTGAAAATTGGGCTTCGGCTACCTTAATCACCAGACGAAACGCGAAAGTATCATACTTCCACTTTCCGAGGCTGCTGCGTGGCCCTACCACCACAAATTTTAATATGGTATTTCATATATATCTCACTGTGCCAATGTAAAGATTGACGGGAGTATAACCACCCCACATACTAAAAAAACATAAGAGAATATAATATGTTCTACATGTAGGTGGCTTTTTCTGAAGATCGCCAAACGGAATGGAATTATAATTAGTCCCGGGTTACTACTTTGCTTATCAAGGAATTTATTTTCTTAATAGCATATTCTTAAATGTCGAAATAAGTTTTAATATAAAACTTGAATTCGCTGAGACGATCTATCTTTTGAATAAATGCTTAAGAAAGCAATAGCTTAAAGTAGAAACTTAACTATTGTAGATATCGTTAACAGCAAAAACCATATTTCTATTACATATCGCAAACTGCAAGATATTAAAATTTGCATAAAAGCTTCATATAACGAAGTTTTCAAGCTAAGAGGAAACTACAAGTTTTAAGTACCAAGTGGCGGAATACACGAAGGAAGAACTTATTGTATATTACTACTATATTACTGCAATAAGTTCTTCTTTCTTTTTCTTCGTTTTATCGGCATTTATAGTAAGACTATATAGACAACTATCTTCAGAAACTTTATACAGATTTTATTTATGTAACCAAATATGTACAATCACGATCAAATTACATTGATCAATTTCAAGTTACTATAAACCTTTAGAACTATCCGTCTGATGTTGATGATATAAATATATCATCGTGCTCGAAATGTGAGCAGAATATTTTTGCGAGCGATTTGGTGTAAAAAATCTAGATACTTGGTAAACTTATTACTAAAAACGAAAGACACTTGTCAATTACTTTTATCGACTTGCATGGTAAACAAAGCGTTCTAAGTTTATTTCGTAAATATGAAACTAGTGAATTCAAACGTCTGTTTACGGTACGGTTCATTCACTGGATTAAGCGCGCAACGTTACGTGTGTCCACATACGTGTTTTATGACGTTTTTATTGTAATAGCTGCCAGACAGAGCTCTATAAGGACACAACCATAGATAAATATTGGATATAACGTATCTGCTGCGTCTTATTCCGGCTTCAACTGTGATAAATGTCTCAATATTTTTTTTTATTTTTCTCATAATTTAACCGTCTACCTCAGAAAGAGATATTTCCAATAGTAGGTACTTATTATACAAGCATATTTTTTTTTTGACAACGTATGACATAGATAAATATTTTAAATTAGAACTTTGATGTACAGTTAACTATATGTACATTAAAATTTTTAAACTATCATCTTTATTATCATCATCATAATTTCAGCCTGTTTGAGTCCACTACTGAACATAGGCCTCCCCCACAGACTGCCACGAAGCCCCATCCTGAGGCACCTGCATCCATCGAGTTCACACATTAATTTGTACAGGTCGTCACTCCATCTATCTAGTGGGGGTCATCCTACACTGCGATGGCCAGTACGAGGCTGCCTGGTTATCGGTTCTACGAGCTATATGTATACCAATTTAAATAATCAAAGCTATATATATATATATATATATATATATATATAGTCGTGATAGCTCAGTGTCCGGGCGCTCGCCTTTAATTCAATATACTCGAGCAACCTGAGTTCGATCCCCGGTGCCGGCACCAATGAAGTTTTTAACTTTAAGTGCTGACTTATCACGTGCTCCGCGGTGAAGGAAAACATCGTGAGGAAACCTGCATATTTTCGAAATAATAACAAAAAAAATATTTTCGAAGATATGTGAAGTCCGCCAACCCGCAGTGGGGCCGCGTGGTGGACTATGCCCTGATACCCTCTCTATAGAGGAGGCCTTTGCCCAGCAGTGGGACATGTATAGGCTGTTACTTTACTTTACTTTTATATATATATATATATTTGTTACTTGTGAACATATACAGAACGTATAAGAATAAAATTATGTATCTTTATAGAACTAACCTGTACAACATTCTCTCCTGTCGGTCAGCCTCCACGTAAATCCTGTAATACATGAACAGCATAATCACGCCAGGTATCCAAAAGCTGACGCTGCTTGAAATCACTGCGTAAACTTTGTTCACGGTGAAACTGCACACTTTGGGGTGTCTCTTTCTAAAGTCTAGATGTTCATGTGTAGTATACCATCCGGCGAAAATCGGAAGGAACGATACCAGGGCTGGACTGCACCAAACAACGGCGAGCATAATCCCTAGTTTCCCGCTTGTCATTATCAGCGGGTAGTCCAGCGGCTGAACGATCGCGTAGTACCTATCGACGCTTATGCAGCACAGGTGTAATATGGAAGCCGAAGAGAAGTAAACGTCAAGTGAATTCCACACGTCACACATGAAGTAGCCGAACAGCCACTCGCCGTTTGTTATCTCGACGCTGAAGTTGAAGCACATAGCCCAGATGGCGACAAGCATATCGGCCAGTGCGAGCGATACGACGAAGTAGTTCGTAATCACACGCAGCTTTCTATGCCTCATCACAGACACGATGACCAGCAGGTTGCCCAATATCGCGGCCATAATGATGAAGAGCATGATAGCACATTTCAAGATGACGAAGATAACGATGATGGCGTCGCTCTCAAATTGATTGGTGTACACCAAGTCGTTCGTAGTCTCGTTGATTTCGAGCGACCTGTTAACGTAGCTGTCTGTGAGATACATTGAAGTAGACAGATCTCTGAAGTCTAACGTAAAATTTTCTGGGCTGTCGGTCAATACAATTTCAACTTTCATGTTTTACATCTTCGTTGCACGCTTTTCCATTCAGAATTAAGTCATGTTTATTTCTTTCGTCAGCGAGAATTTGCTTGTCGTGTAGCGATATTCATTGATGCTATTTCCCATCCTGCGGCCTTGGTTTTTGATGTACCTGCGCAAAAACTAAGAGTCAAATGAACAGATTAAAAACGGCGTAGTAAATGATTAGATATGATGGTTCATTAATTAGTGGCCTCAATAAATGCTTAGTGACGGGAACTCGACACGGCAATGTAATCTGTTTAGTTACCATCACTTAGTCCTAAAATTCTCTCATGTACTGATAGTTCTGACTTCGAGTGATGGAGTGTTTATTTTTTATAAATTATTCATAAAAATACACCAGGAAAGCTGAATAAGAAAATTATTCCAAAGCCAGATTGTAAATAATACTAGGTTGGAATAATTATATGGGACAATAAAAAATAGCTTATAATAACACTTCTCACTGACTTCAGTAAGTGAAAAACATCTTTTTAATACGGTAATCGAATGATACGTCACCACTGAAAATCAGCGCTGTGTTGTGGCCTTGATTTCCGGCACAGCATAATGCTGAGCTGCTGACCTAATTTACCGGAATATGACATAAAATATTGTTGGTTTCTTTAAGTAATTTTTATTTCTTTTATTTTTTGTTACATTTAGGTTTTTTCCTTTGTTAAGTGCGTCCTTTTTTGGTAAATAAATGTATTTTCTTTCTTTCTTCTTCTATACTTCTTTTCTTTAAATAATATAAAAAATAGGATCCATTCTTGATATGTTGTACAGTAAGAGTAATGTCCACTTTAAACAAAACATTTTACAAATGTCAACAGTTAATACAGACTTGAGGCAACCAATGAAAACAAATGCATTACGGGAAGTTATCACTATCTATCTGTACTAAATCTATGAATGTATTAGCGAGAATAATTTAAGGTATATCCATTACGTAGGTAGTGGTGAATTTTTTAGAATTCACAACGCAAAAACATAGCGTAAGATATTACACGGGCAACAATTTACTGGCCAGGCTCCGACAATATTGAGGTCGAATGAACCTAGGACCGTTTTGAAAATAACCTGCACAAATAACCTCTCGGTGAATTTATTCGAAGCCATTATAATTTATGAACATATTTTTCACGCCCCATATTTTTGGGGGTATAACAAATCCCTTATCGTGTACAATATATTATTAAAATGAAAAGTATTACAAGAAGGTGAGTGAAACAATGCGTTTTATACAGCACAAGGAACATATCAGCCCTTGGGACTTAATAGCCTATTATCATTGGTAACTGATTTTCGATTATGGGACTCGGTTCGTTTTTTTTGTTTGAATTGAAACTATATACAATACTTTCGATAGTGTTGTTTTCAAACTTCTACTAAATCAAAGGCGTTGTAATTTTGAACATTTTAATTTTCGGACAAAGAAGTACAAATTAAAGTACGGGGTTCTGTGTGCGTTTGTCTTTTTTTCAGAAATTTGTCATTTATGAAACGATTATTAAAATTCATTTTGAGTTGGGTTCTGTTAGATCTCATGTGGTCCCATATTAATTAATATGGTATTGGACGTTAAAAATCTGGGGATACATTAGGCAACTCCTCAAAATCAAGTAGAAATTCCATTTTGAGCGGGATGATTAAAAGCGGTTTTGTTTTTGTTAGTAACAATGCACTTGTGTCTTGTATTATTTATTTTTCAATATTTAGGTATACTGGATTATGTTTGGTCCCACTGCAAAGAAGGTGATGAAAACAGAAAATGACAAATAATGACTGCACATTTCGCGGTACGGTGATGGACAATATGTTACCTAATTTTTTTTTAAAAAAGTGCGAATATTATGCTGTCTCCAGTCTATAAGACTACAAAGAGATTTAAGTTACATAAATATTAAAAAATGGTAGTAATAGATATTAGTAGACAGTAAATTGAGACGATAAGATAACATGACTGAAATGATAATCTCAATTTATCCCGGGTTTTCTCAAACATTCGCGGAAGACAACGTCTCCGTGTACCGTGTTTTCTTTTTAGTGGTTATCCGTTTCTGACTGGCACTAATGACTTGTTAATTTTAAGTGCTGACACGTCATCTGCTCTGCGGTGAAGGAAAACATCATGAGGAAATCTGCATATTTTCGAAAAAATGAGAAAAACAATATTTCGGAGATATGTGAAGTCCGCCAATCCCCAGTGGAGCCGCGTGGTAGACTATGTATGTCCTGATATCCTCTGTATAGACGAGGCTTATATACGGGTTACCTTTTTTTAATTTTAACATCAAACTAACAAGGTCATTAAAATAACTTCCACACCATTAAATGCGTAATGAAGTTTAATGGTTTTAATTATATGGACGGCAAATTAACCTATTTCTACATTTTTATTTCTAAACTCAAAAAATAAATGCATATTATGCACATTACAGTTTTTACTTGATTTAGATTAATTATCTAATATTATTTCAAACCGCCGACGTTACGTTTCAAGTTAAGAAATATTTAATGTCCTTTTTGGCTTTTTTTTTTGTTTTTTTTTATTTAATTTTTATTGTTTAAAACGAGTGTTCAATACGTCAGTCTGGTTTTGTGTCAAATAAATCTCTTTCTTTCTTTCTAATTATATAAATGTCATATCAAATAGATCCGTAGTAGTTGAAATCACCATATTGATGTTATCAAAAGACACGATTTTTACGACACTCTGAACGTAATAACGTAAATGATCACGACGCCGTTTCGTTTTGGCTCAGTTCCAAGAAAGTTGCATGCGTTTCTTCAATGTCATAACTCCATAGAATTTATAGTCAGTACCAGTTCCAAATTTCACTACCTTCTAACGTGCACACGTAAAGCGTGTAAAAGGGGGCTTCCCTTTTACTTTGATTTATAACCATACGCTTATAATTAAACATTTCCATCCTGCGATCATGGCGCGTGTGTGGTCTTTGAAACGTCGTTATCATAATAGAACAAAAAACACAAAAATATTGGGAATGGTAACCTAAAAATTTAATCTTTGCACAAATAATTGAACATATTTTTATCACCGATTAAATTGGCAAAATGTCTTCTAGAACAATCAGAAAAAATCCTGAGGGCTCCTGATTTCGTATAGTTGTAGTGGACGAGACGTTTCGTATAGTTTAGCTTCGTACGGACCGCTTATGGTCCAAATAGCTTTTATGTATTATTTAATTTTATATAATAATTTGGTATCTAAACTAGACATATATCGGTAAGCCATGACAACATACAGTTACTAGTTACATTTTACCGTAGCCAGAGTATTATGGTAATGTTAACATGTTGCCATGGTTGTCCATTTTTGATTGTGGTAGGCCTGTGCATCGGCTTCAGCATGAATGGGCTCTTTCATTTAGGAAAGAATTATCGCCTCACAAAAGACTAGCTTAAATGAAATAATTTTCGTGTATGTATTCGTGTGAATTTATACATCACAGTTCTTATATCTTTGCTCATGCAAGGTAATCCATAGATAAGTGGTGCTGGAACTTACATGCGTGAGAAAACGTAAATCGAAAAAAGCCGCTACATGTTTTTTTTTAATTTGTTATCTGGCAACATTCTACTTTATTTACAGGGAAAATATACCGAATGGGGAGAGCCAGGGTGTTATCTAAAAATTCATACTGCTGCTAATCTAGTTTAGTAGTGATGTTACCCATCACGTAACCGTTTAATGGTTGATGCAACTTTAACTCGCGAAAGCTTAACAAAAGTTCCGTACTCTGCTGAGAGCATTAAAAATTGCAAGCTGAAGCACTGTTATATTCGAGTATGAACTTCAATGGCGATCGAATAATCTGTTCGCCCGTGACCTAAATCACGCTAATGAGTTATTGAAGACGTTGCTGTTTTGTTCGGTTGCACTTAATTGATGAAATAACTAGAATATTGATAGAGACTGAATAGAGACTAGATAGAGACTGAAGTTTGGCATTTTTTGTTATAAAACCTTTCGACTATGAAACTGGACTATAAATCCAACAGATTTAGGATACGTTGCAATAAATTGCGAAAACCAAATCCGCGTTTGAAGCGGTTTGATAGCATAGCGACTTCAAAGCGAAGAAACGATTACAAGGGTCAACGTTTATACTGGTACTGCTGGGCGTCTGTTATTCTCGTTTTCTAAAAGCGCCTAAACTGCGATGCTAAGTTCAAAGGAATACGAGTCCTTGGGCTCCAAGTAGGCCATTTTTTGTAATATTATTGAATTTTTTGTTCTTTTCATACAAACCTTTACCAGTTGTACGACTGAAGACTTATGTTTAACTTCGCTTAAAAAAATTAAGAATGAAACTGAATCGCTGTTGCTAAAATTCTTACAGTTTACGTATTTTCCAGATTATATTTATTTATTAGCGCAGGATCTACGTCTTAGAGTTACTCTTAATTTGTGAAAGTTATATCGATTACAATAATTCTAAATTTTATGAAACTTATAAGTGTGAATCTTGTAGATGATTAAATTACAATAAGAAATATTGTCTTCTCTTGTATCTTCAATAATGGAAACGTTGAAATTTGATGACATTAAATATATTTTACTCATTATGAAGAAACTATATCAGTTAAGGAAACAGGTTTATCTATTTATAAGTTTTTATTTATCTAATATTTACAAGATTAAATCTATCTAAAATTTAATATTATCTAATAAACCTAATCCACGCGGCATGGTGTCAAAAACGCTAGCTGCATTTCCTCGCTGAATAGTTATGCTTTACTTTTGAGCGAGAAATGAACCAGCTCTCTTGTCACCAGCCGCGGCGTTAAGCCTAGGACATAGACTTTAAAATTTTTGATGTGCGGGCACCCCACATATAACAGTATAACAGTATAAAATTGTAAATTTTCCCAATGGCGGTCAAGAAACTAATATAAGTTATTTTTTAATGTAAGAAGGTGACAAGCGAGCAGGTGGTTCACCTGATGCTAAGTGATAACCACCG